ATACTTTGCTTTTCAAACTCAGCCATAATTTATATTTGACTACTATTGTTTTGATATTTTGAAGAAATTCTTGTTCAATTTTTTTTTTTTCTACAATAAAGTTATAACCACCTTTATAAAAAACTGTAACAATCCAAATAAATCTTTAGAGCTTATTATGTTTGTTCTTTTTTTTAATTTTATTTAGCACAAAGATAATTTAATATAAATTTCTATTATTAATTTATTTTGATTTATTACATCAAATATTAATGGATAATCATCATAAAATAAACAAAATATGCAATATTACAATCCATATTTAGATTAGAATATGTTTCTAAGCATATAATTAGGTTTAGCTGTCTGGCAAGAATTGTGTAATTAATGAGAAAAAATATTTATTCAAATCCTCTTCAATTATCATTAAAATTAGAATAATAAAATAAGCAAAATAATCTTAAGCATTTAAGAGTCCATCTAGGTAATTGTTGAATTCAAATTTATTCATGAGAGACGCATTGAGTTTATTGGCAAGACTAAGGCTTCGTTTGGGACGGTTTTTTTAGTGCTTTTTAAAATGGAGTTTTAGTACAAAAATTCAAAATTTTGAACTAGAACTCCGTTTTAAAAAGCAGTAAAAAAGCCGTCCCAAACGAAGCCTAAGGCTTCGTTTGGGATAGTTTTTTTACTGCTTCTTAAAGCAGGTTTTTAGTATAAAAATTAAAAATTTTGTACTAAAAAACTGCTTTAAAAAGTAGGAAGAAAGCCGTCTCAAACAAAGCCTAAATAGGATGATGGGCAGAGAAAAGAAATATAGCAAATAAGAAGCTGTAGTTGCTGAGAAAAGGTTCAAAAAATCTTCCTAACACTTTTGTTTATAGGGTTGAGAAGGCTATAAAAAGACGGCACCTTAAAAATAATAAAATAGTGCAATACTTGATCATTACAAATATGTGGATTAACTAGGAGATACATATTATTTCATATCTAATGTTGAGAAGTAAAGTTATGTGGCGAACATAAACATGAAAAAGAAATCAACAAAAGAAGTATATCAGGATTTAACGTAGAAAATTTTGATAAAAAAAATTAAATTTATTGAGCCACACCACATCATGAAATTCACTATGAAAAATTAGGAGAAATGGTACATCTCTCTCACTCTCTTCACTCTTACACCATTCTCTAATAAAATAACAAGAGACAACTAAACTTTTAAAGGGACGCAACCTTCAAGTTAAATATAAAAAATGAGAAAGAGAATTGTCCAGTCTGACTTACAGAGCCATGGCCCTGAGTTTGGAGTGTTACGGCGCTTTGCACTTTGTCTCCAACCTGACTGGAAGAGCCAAAGCACTGGTGTTTGGAGCATCGCAACGCTCTGCTCTTTGTCTCCAAATTAGTACTAGTATACAACGGCATAGCGATGTATGGTTGTACAAGAAAAAAACAATTTTAGGGGGCAATGCCACTAAACCCAAAGAAGGGGGAGGCCTCCTGGCAAGTTTGACAGGCTAAATTGAGGTTTAAGTAAATAGTACAACCAGATTGATTGATACAAATAGATTCCACACAGAACTAACATCTAATGTGCCTTGAGTCTTGGTGAATGCTTCTGGTGAGTGCCTTCGAAGTGTTTATGATAAGTGCCTTTAGTGATTGACTTTGGCAATAATCTTTAGTGAGCACTTCCTAGATCAAGGCATCGATTGAATGGGGTGTATTCATTGCGATTGGGTCTATATAGGTGAGCATCTCTTTCTAATAGGATGAGCAATCATTTGGTGGAGGCAAGTTCCTCAAAGAAGATCGTCTTAAACAAGCGAATTCTTTTTGGACAATCATCTTGGTTAGGCGAAAACCATCTCGGGTCAAGATTTGCTAAAGTGAATTCTTCACTTGAAATTATTGGGGCTTGTGTTTTTTTTAACATTTTATTGGATTAATGAGCTTAAATTTTTGTAATTTTATGCTCATTGAATTTGCCTCATTAAACACTCATAGTGATTATAATCATATAAAATTTTGAGGTAGTTTGGTCTCTCAAAAGGTCATGCGAAGCTTTCAATTATATTTTTGAGTGCTTGATTTAGGCTCATTTAGATTCAGCCTACGATAATCTTAGAATTTCAGCTCATTGAGACCTTTTTTTTGTCAGTTTAGGTTTACTAAATTGTTTAGCAATCGATTTAAATACTTTGAGATATAAATAATGCATCAAGATACATGGTTGATACATCAAAAATGAGTTCTATAATCAGATTTATTAGAATGTATATCATGTAAAGATATAGATCAACTTAAGAAAAAATCAATAATAATAAGCAATAATAAAAATATTTTTTTCCTTAAATATTTTACTAATGCAGCCACCTTCAATGAACCCTAAGATAAGTTGAAGGCTGTGATTTACTAAGGGGTATGTTGTGATGCCCCAAGATCAAACTTGGAAAGAATGTCAATCAATTACTCAAACAATTTACCAGAGTTATCTAAAACCTTCAATTAAGCAGTCTATCAAACATCTATAAAATTTAAAACATCAATATACAAGTCGATTCATATCTCACAGTGATTTACTAATGGGTATGTGGCGCAAGATCTTAAGCTTTCTGAAGGTAGAACTAAGAGATCTAAAACTCCTGTTTTGTAGGCCTATATTATCTACCTTTTAGCATTCATTAGTTATTTATATTATGAGCATTTTCATGGTTCAGACAGTTTATCTATAAAATAGGTACACAATCTATAAACTATGACAAAAGAGAAAATGTGCAAGAAATGACTTCATACTTAGAGTTTATAAGATTAAAATAGCCAAATAAGAAACATCAATGCAAAACATAACCAATAAACACTTCATTTAAATACATTTAAATGGCTATCATAATTGACATAACAAAGCATAACAATAATTGAAATTATAATTTAAAAAACTCTTTAAAATTTTAATAAAAGTATTTGTTTCCTAAAATTTATTGAGTTGTGACTTAGGTATGAAACATAAAAGAATTAACTCAATCCAAAAGTAACTACTAACTAACATTACACTCAAAATAAAATATTTAGGGATTTAGAAAATATTGATATTAGAAATTTAAAAAAATCAAAATAAATTTAAAATGAATACTTAAATTATATTAGCAAGACATTTCCCATTTTCCATATTTATCATTTTCTAGTTTAAAAAAAAATAATAATAATTGTAATGCTTTGTTGCGGGCTAAAATATACGTGACGATAAAGTTAGAAATTTTCGTCTTAGCGTTATACGAATACCCAGCAAACAAATAGAATAAATGATAAAACACCAAAACTTTTATGTGGAAAAGGAAAAAAACCACAAGGTCATGCCCAGTTGAAATGATTTCACTAGTATTTGAGTAAATTACATGTGTCTGATTCATCCTTGAAATTGAGGACAACCATATTACAATAGTCAACAGTCGGATTAAAATCTAAAGGTCGGGCGAAAGTCCATAGTCAATCTGTGATCGGGCAGAAGTCCATAGTCAATCCGTGATCAGGCAGAAATCTAGTGTCAATTGGCGGTCGAGCGGAAGTCCGGCGTCAATCGGTAGCCGTGCAAAAGTTTGGCGACAGTCGGTGGCCGGGCTAAAGTAAGACGGTGGTTGAGGAGGAGTCTGGTGGCAAGAGAACTCTATCTCTTCCTTCTCTTCTTGCTTGAGTCCGCTTCCATAAGAAATGAAGGGTCTATGTATAGTTTTCTGAGAGTGACATGACCAGTAAATAGAAGGAAGATCAAGGATAAGTTGGGGGTGGTTTTAATGGACGACATATATTAATTCCCTTGATCGTGGACCGTTTATTTGCTATTGAAATGTCTTAATGATATCAGAATTCAGCAATCTTGGGTTTGTTGGATTCGTTTCGTCGAGCCGCTCGATTCGATTATAAGCATGTCACATTTGAAAACCATTTCATAATCCAAATTATAGTTTGAACCTTTCAAATGTGCTTTAGGTCTTTGATTTGTATTCATTTGGGCTCGAATTGAGTTGAATTTGGTGTCGTTAAGTTCATATTTTTGAGACATTCAGCTCGACTGTAAGTTTGCTAAAATCAGAGTTCAGATGGTCCCGGATTTAATTTTTAAAGTTTCCAACTTGATTTTGCTTTGAGATTTGTGCACAATCAAGATAATTTTTTTGATGATATATCAAGCTTCATTTGGGACAGCTCTTTTAATGTTGTGCATTTTAGACTACAACCATAGTTTTTATTTGACCAATGTTTTTCCACTGATTTAAAAAAAATATGTTCGGAAGCTGTTTTTTATAGTAGCTTTCAAAAGGTTACTTATACTATAACAATTTTATAACCACATCTGTAAAAAGTTTAGCCATTCTAAACGAGCCCTAAGGCTTCATTTAGAACGGCTTTTTTACTGTTTTGTAAAGTTGTTGCATAAATTTACCTTCTTAAAGGTGCATAAAACAGCTTCCTAATAAAAAATATTTAAAAATAACGAAAAAATAATAATCAAATAGAAATTATGATTATAACTTGAAAAACAAAATAATAAAAAAAATTGTCTGAAATAAAACCTTAGCATATCATAAGAGAGTACCCAACTCTTTTAAAATAGCTCTCATAATTAGATAAAATAATGCATTGATTTGTTGAATTTGTATCAATATTTGTGTAATTTATTTTGCCAAAAAATTGATAAGATAGAGTTGTTTCTTATTTGTATTTTTTGCAATAAAGTATTTTGTCTTTAAAATATAATAATAATAATAAGTAGATAATGTTTTACCATTTTAAAAATAAAAAATTAAAAAAAATGAAGCGAAAAAGACTACAAACTTTAGAGAGTACTTATTAGAAGGACAAAGGCCAGCTTCCGTTGACGCAATGGCGCTTTAGGGATCGCGAGCTGCGAACCCGACATTTGCCCGAACACCAAAAAAAAAAAACATAAAAGATTTAAAATTTGCGACTTGCGAGAGCGTGTCTTTACGTCACCTGTGGGGGGTAAGCATTAGTTCTCACGGATTTCGTCGCCTCTTGAAATTCTATTTAAGAAGCAATGTTGAGACATTCGCCTACCCTGCTTGTGCTACCGGATTTCCTCCACGAAAAAGGAGTTCTTTTGGTCGAAAACTTATTACAAGAATCTTCATGGAGGAGGCTCAGGGTATGTATGTATTTTGGTCAATTTGATCCATTTCTTACTATTTTCTTTGATGCCTTCCGCCTCTGCATTGCTGATTTTATAATTTCCCTCTTTTATTTTACTTCTCTCCAGCTTAAAGTTCCAATTTTGTTAGAAAGTCACTAGAGTTTTAATGTTCTTCATTGATTATTTATTTATACTTTGCATTTCGGTGTCCCTTAGGCGATTCGTTAATCTATCATTGTATGCATTTCATTTATATATATATTAGGTTGCGTTCTTTTTCTTTTTCTTACGCTTAAGTTTGAAGATGTGATTGTAGATTTCAAACTCCTTTCCTTCCTCTTATTCGTATTCTTCAAGTTGATTGTAAATTACTGCTTCTTGTTCTTCATATGCCTATTCTTAGAATTGATTAGAACTTATTGACTTTTCAATCTGATTTGGACTTCAATATGGAATCCAAGTTTTCTTCTTTTTCATGAGATTTTATTAGCATGGAAGGGAATTTGTTCATATTCTCTGTTCTATCTTCTCCGGATTGAATTTTTTGTTTGCAAAATGATTGATTAATGAATAGTATATGCTGCATTTTCTCAAATTCCATTATGATTTCTTGGTATCAGTTGTTGAAACTATGGATGGGACCATTGCTGTGGCTTCTTCTTTCCCTGGTCATCAAGAAGGTATAGATGGCCTATTTCTTTTTGTGTTCACTTTGAACTTTAAAACAATCAAAGTAAATGTTTTATCTTTTTTTTTTTTACCAAGCAATCTTGAATAAAGATCACAAGTTCTTATCAAAAGCAATTGAGGAGGCATATCATGGGGTTGATTGTGGTGATGGAGGCCCTTTTGGTGCAGTTGTTGTTTGTAATGATCAAGTAGTGGTGAGCTGCCATAACATGGTACTGAGGAAAATAGATCCTACAGCCCATGCTGAAGTAACTGCAATAAGGGAGGTAGGTCTATTTCTATCCACTGCACTTGTTTTTTCTCCTGTAGTTGTAATGTTTCTGTACAATTAGTTTATTTGTTTAATGGCCTACTTGATTTATCATTTTCCTTCCAGCTGTGTATCATTGCACATATCATGATAGTACTTTAGCTGCCTCTTATTTGTCATTTGAGGCACGCTTTATTTATCTTTTAGAAGTTAAGAATTTTTCAGTATGTTCATTGAACTTGAACTGGGCAACCACCGTTGCTTAGCTTGGTTGGTGGACGAGTACGGTTGGGAACCTCCCAACCGGTGCTCGATTCCCCTCGAGCGGCAGGGCCTCTTAAGTGGGGCCCAATCAAGTGCGGGTCAGAAGGTTTCTGGGATTGGTGTCTACACTAGGTCAGCCAATGATTAGTCATGCCATCAAGCGCCCTTTTAGGGGTGGCAGCGGGTGGATATCAACAACAACAACAACAACATCAAGCCTTTGTCCCACTATGTGGGGTCAGCTACATGAATCCTTTTTCGTTATTGTGTCTGGTTAAAAGTCAAATTCTCATTTAAATCTAATAAAGAACGATCATTTCTAATATTTTCTAACAAGGTCTTTTTAGGTCTACCTCTACCTTTCTTAACATAAGACGTATCTAATACCTCAACTTTCCTAACTGGGTCATCGAAAGACCTCCGTTTAATGTGACCAAACCATCTAAGGTGACTCTCTCTAATCTTATCTTCCACTGGAGTTGAGTGTTCCAGAGATGAGGATGCTTAGGTCGATGAGTTGCTTGACCCTTAAAGATAAGACCCGTTCCCAAAATAAATAAATAAACTTGAACTGGGCATAGAGTCACTAGGTCAATGATTAATTGCTAGGTAAAACGGATCAATACATGGGTTACTCAAAATTTTCATATAAATTTAATATAGGAGTGTGTGAATTCTATTTTATCTGCATTTATATACTAAAATAAGTGTGTACAGCGGAATTTATGACTTACAAAAATTTTTTTTTTTTGGGGAATATTTTGGGCCTTAACCCATATCATTGAATAATGAAAGAAATACAAAGGGAAAGAAAATCATATGCCAACACATAAAAACATGTTGCAAATGGCAAAACCCTATCAGCCAAAGCTGTTGAACAAAATAAAGCAAACAAAAAAGGAATAAAATTGCAACAAAAGCAAAAGGACTCAGGATGCAAATTCCTGAAAATCACGAAGGCATCAAAATTCATCTAAAGAGATGATAAGAGTTCCCCTGATTGTGCGGTTTTTTTTTTATTATCATTATGAATTCTATCCATATGAATTCTATCCATATTTATCTTTTTTAATATTGTTGTGCGGTTTTTTTTTTCCACAAGCTAGAACATGTGGATATTATTTGGCATTATATAATGATATGCACAGATGTCCTCTGAGTATAATATAGGAGTTTGACAGTTGTATTCATCTCTTGTATAGCTGTTTTCTCATATATTATATTGAGCTGTTACTCAGCCTTTCCATTTTTTATGGCCTCTTATCAATTATCTTTTCACAATCTCTTTTCAGGGGAATAATAATTCCAAGATATCTGACAAAATTTTCAGCCATGGTGGGTCTATTATTTAATAAAAAAATCAAACTCTTTCTAGTATAAGATATGTTAACTATCCAAGCAATCTTGTAATACTTATCCAAATCAATCTTATAAATCATCTCGCTTTTTCTAAGATGCATAATGATATAAGAGTATCAACTGAAGAACCTATGAAGATGTTGTGTGATAACAGAAGCTGGCATAAGCATTGCAAAGGATCTTGTTTAATATGATAAAAAAAAATATGTTGAGATTGATTGTCATTTCATAAAATAAAAAACAAAAAAATTACTTCTGACCGAATGAAGTTCCTAGGATTATATTTTGTTTGGTATGTTAAAATTGTTTTCTGACCAAAGTATTTTAGTAACATATACCTTACTAATTAATAATTTCACCATATATGAAACTAAATCACTTACCGTTTAAAGACCATTAATATAATAGTATATAGTTGTGGTTATTGGTGAAGTGCTTCTAACATTAGGTAGTATTTTAGAATTCTAAGTTGGATTATCTTAATACTATGCTTTTTTTTTTATATCTGACAGCTGATGAGGCCTTTTATGACAGGCTTGTAAAAAACTTGGAAAACTCGAGCTTGGAGATTGTGAAATATATACATCCTGTGAGCCCTGTCCAATGTGCTTTGGTGCAATACATCTATCACGAATTAAGGTATTGACCTCTTCAACAATTCTATTTTTGTTTTCTTCAAATATATTCTCCTATTAAGGCTCGTTTGGGATGACTTTCTTACTGTTTCTTAAAACAACTTTTTAGTTCAAAAATTAAAATTTTGATGCTAAAAAGCTGCTTTAAGAAACAGTAAGAAAGCCGTCCCAAACGAAACGAATAAAATGGAGGATTCATACGGAAGAATTGATCACCTGTAAAGTGATTATAGTACTGGACCTTGCTCTCAATTAGAGAAATAAGAGTTTTGAATCCTTTCAAACAAGAATAACCGTTAATATCTTTGATCCAAAATACTAGAAAATTGGTTAGATAGAGTGATGAAGGAACCACAACTAATGCTCAAGCCACGGAAGATCACTCTTTGGAAGCCCTGAGTGTCAAGACAAAGATATAGACATCTTTCAAATATCTGAAACTTAAGCTCGTCCAAGATGTTAATAATATTGGCCTTTGAACAAGAACATTTTCAACTTCTTATGTGGTCTATTTCATTGATGCAGAGGCTGGTATATGGAGCCAAAGCAGAGGCTGCAATTGCTATTGGCTTCGATAATTTTATTGCTGACGCGTTGAGAGGTACTGGGTTCTACCAGAAGGCCAGCCTTGAGATCAAGCAAGCTGATGCGAATGGAGCTGTTATTGCTGAGCAAGTGTTTGAGAAAACAAAGGAGAAGTTTCAGATGTACTGAATAGTGAACGAAATGAATGTAATCTGATTAAATTGTTTTGGACTTTCTGAATGTATTCTCATGCTAAAAACCATTTCTCCATTCAATCTTAAATCCTTTTGGTTTCAAAGAATAAACTAAGCTGCTTGGTTCCTCTGGGTTGCAATTACAATTTCTTCGCAATCTAATTTGTTCATTGATGCGCAGGATAATGTTTAGATATACCCGCATTACTAAGCATATAAAATTTCTATTGTGCAAAGACTTTGATCTAAATCAATTGAGCTTTCAGCCATTGTTGCCAGGAATGTTTTCTTGCAGCTGTTTCTTAGAAGTCAACAGAGAATTCTTCCCTGAACGTAACATTGGGCAAGATATAAAGTGATCGTCTCAGCTTTAGTGAGAGGTTCTTGCATTTTCAAGATACAGCCATGGACAATCATATAAATTGGTAATATCCATTCCCTTCGTTCATTTTCATTTTTCATTTTTAAAAGAATATGATAATTAGTCCATGAAATCCTTCATTGGAGCTTTAACTAATTGAGAAATTATTACATGCGTAGACTGGACACAGACAACCATTCGGATTGTCTCTTTGAACTAAAAAGCACAGTGAGCTACGCTTTTACTGTTCATCATTGCGCTTTTACTATTCACAGAAATAAAACCGAACGGTTCTCTGTATCCGGTCTCCGCACGTAATAATCTCTCTAACTAATTAAGAAGTTAGTCTTGTTGGCAACTATCAAATCAATCATTTTGATTTCAAACATATAGTGATCAAATTATTTAAGGATTTTGATTACTCTTATCTTTGGCATAGACATTAATGTCATAGGGGTGCTTTAATGAAGATTTTAAAGTGATCTTGTTTTTGCGGATGTTATGCAGGTCGCTCATATTTGAAGCTCATTAATGAGGATTATGTTCTATTTCATCGATCACTATGCTTTTTTTTTACTAGAAGAATTTTTAGAAAATCATTTTAGATCAATAGAGACATCATTAATACATCGAAACTATTTTGTGCTAGAATTTTCAATAAGATACACTCTTGGTTCCGGTGATAATGGCTATCATCAAGAGTTTATTTTCATGAATCTTCATACTTTTTTGCACCCATTTGGCCACTTCAAGGATGGTTGTTATTAGCTACAGCTTAACTTCAAAAAATCAAGGAAGGCTTTGTTGTCTTGTTGACTTCAAAAGAACTTGAGGGGAACAAAATTATGAGAAGTTTTATTGATGAACAAATGCTTCATGCCCCAAATGTTACTGATAGTTATTTAAATACCAACTTAGGTGAACCTCTTATTAATACTGATGTGATCAAGATGCTTCATATCCAACTTTTGAACAATTAGAATTTTTTCCTAATTAGAAATTATTACGTGCAGAGATCGGACACAGAAAATCATTCGGTTTTATCTCTGTGAACAGTAATTGCACTTTTATTATGCACAAAGACAAAACTGAACTGACTTCTATCTGGTCTCCACATGTAATAACTTCTCCTCTATTTGACACTTCTGATGATTGGATCACTCACATTATTAACCCTTAAACTAAAAGTATAATATTAAACCCTAGGATTAAGGCTTCATTTGAGATGGCTTTCTTTCTGCTTTTTTAAAATAGCTTTTTAATGCAAAATTAAAAAAAATTTGTACTAGAAATGTGATGAGGACATCGATCAAACGTTCAAGCATGTGTATCGCCGGAAGAATCGCAACTCAACGGCCACGATTCAGAGTTTATATTTTTAGATTTATTTATGCATTCTTAGTTTCTTTATGTATTCCTATTGTACCCCTACTATAAGTTGAGTCATGATGTAGCCCCGAGGGCAATTTAGTCTTTGTTTCTTCTTTATGTTGAGACCTATATATAGGTCCTTGCTATTGTAATATGAGTTAATGAATATTTGAATGAAAATTGTGTTTTGTTTCTACTTCTTCTTGCATGAGAGCTAGAGAAGGGAGAGAGCTCAAAGGGAGCATTTGCAAGACCCACCAGTCATTGGAAGAGTCCACGACTTGTGGTTAAGTTTGTTCTATCTTATTTGTGTTTTCCCCTCATCCTCACGTAACCCAAATCCTCATCCCATTATCCTCAATCCAAGCCCTAATTTCATCCCGCCTAACACCAAAGGGATCCAACCCATCGGCCTTCCCTTTGGCCGACGGCCACCCCTCCTCCACCACCTCTTCCACAACCCACCCGCCGGCCCCTTCCCCCATTTCTGCACTCGTTCAAATTTTAAAATTTAAAATTGATTGAGTTTCAAAATTTCCAAATTTGTCAAAAGCCAAATTAGAAAAGTTTTCAAATCCAAGTCAATTTTAAATTCAAATTGAATTGGACCTCTTAACAAAACTTCCTAGTGCGGATGTGCTAGTTTGGAAGGTTCATAAATCGCTCCCACCTCATCCCCTCCCCCTCTTGAACCCGCCGGCCCTATGAGGCTCTCCCCTCATTGATTGCTACATTAAATCCCCCCCTTCCCATTTGAAATTAAAACTTGATTTCAAATAATTCTCCCTCCAAATTTTACAAATCCTGAAATTAAATTCAATATTTGTTTTAAAACCCCCTCCCTCTCCCTCTACAAACAGTCAGCCCCTCATTGGCTTCCCCTCCCTAACTCCACCATTCAATGCATTAATGCCTTTGATTTGAAATTCAAAATTCAAATCAATTCCTTCCCAATCTAATCAAATCTGAAATTAAAATTCAGATTTTGATTAATCCCCTAAACACCCCACTAAACCTAATTTCTCCAAACCCTAGCCCATCTCCCCTTGCACCCACCGGCTTCCCCCTTTCCCCTTGGGAATCCCGCCGCCCCTCTCCCCTCCCTCTTCCTTCCTCGCGAACCACAAGTGCGCTCCCTCACCATTTCATATTTCCCCTCTTCTCATTGGTGTTCTCTCAACAATGACAAGAATACATGGTGGATCCCGAACTTGAAGACGGACTTGTGTTCGACGTCTACGGGAACATCCACATTCTACGATCCCCGTTCTTCGACGTGGGATTTGACCACGATGACACCGTTGGAGATTACTTGATCGAATTCTCCCCACCCTTGTGCACGTCGTCGACATACAATTTTCAGACTACGATTGGATCATCGTCGGTCACCCACCTCCCTCCTCTCCACCGGCTACCTCTCCACCAACGAAGATCTTCGGCATCGTCTTCCTAGTGGTGATCTCGATTCTAGCATGCAAAATCTTCTCTTGCCTAAGCCTAGTGTAGTTGAGTGAACAATCCCCGAGGTGAAACTCTCATTATTAAATTGTGGATTGTTGTTTAATAGCTCTTAGCTTTGCTACTATTTTTGTTTATCTACAAGGATTGGTTAATCTACATGTGCTCCTTCGCCTAAGCAAGTTGAAAACCAAGAATCTTTATTGAATTGCCTTGTTATCACAATAAGTTATTAAGTGGAATTATTTTGCCAATTTATTCTCAAATTCCTTAATGAGCTCCTGTGTATTTGGTTTCACATCAAAAGGTGCTTTAAGAAACAGAAAGAAAGCCGTGCCAAATGAAGCCTAAGTCTTTAATTTTGAATTTGAAGAACAATGCTAAGCTCAAAGCCAAGAAACATCTTAAACATATTCTCAAAATTTACAAGCTCAATCTTATTGTTATTATTGAAGCCACTCTGATTATGTACAAACAATTTTTCTACAAAGATATTTTTTTGGCTTTAATGGGGCTATTGGTGACACTAATAATAAAATCTAGATTTTTATGAAAATACCCACTTGTTTGTAACCTAATTAATGATTTTGAACAAGTTCTTCATAGCCAAATTTGTTTCATTAATTTTGAAGTTTGTACCTCTTTTTTATAAGTCAAAATTTTAGAGTTGGTAAATGTACCCTTCTTTGACTTGTTAGTGCTGATTTTAAGAGGTGCTTACTAACAATAAATGACTTGATCAATATTCTAGAAAGAGATTATCTTCAATCACAAGAAGGATTCTTCGGCTAGCTCTAATGAATTCATTTCTAGTTTTACTAATCATATCGACAAATCATTGAAAAAAATGCTTATATTAACGGTCAAAGAAAATTTATTTTTGAGCCTCTCTCCCAAATACTTTTCTTTTAACATCATTGTCTTCATAAATAATAATAATAATAATAATAATAATCCTACAAATTGGAATGAATACATACTTACATAAATCTATGCAATATTATTAACAAAATATTTCTAAAATTATGGCAAATATCATCAACTCTCAACTCAGGAAGAGTATTCACCTAATCAAAGTGGTCGTTTCAAAGGTAGGAATAATATTTTGGCAGGAAAAAAAAAATTATTGTATTAATCTTAACTAAGGGGAGGCCTCCAAGTTAAACATGACTAAAATTTATGACATAATTCAATGGTCATTTCTTAAGGTTATCTCTGGCGCATCGCGAACGCCGAAAACGGGATTTGAGATTTCCTAACTTTTAAAGAACATTTATACCTTTCACGAGGGGTCAACGATGGCGATGATGATGAAAATGAACAAATATTGAGACGCCAGAAACTTTCTTCTTCTTCTTCTTTTCTTTTTTGAATTTTTGTGTCCTTTTTCTTTCATTTTTTTAATAATAACAATAACAACAATAATAATAACTATTATTAGTGTTACAATCAATATTTATAATAATTATAATTATTATCATAATTAATTAATTAATATTTATAAATCTCCATTTACTTTGCATAATAAGCCCTTTGGATTCCCTTTTCCAAATAGAGTAGTAAGAAATAGAGTTTTGTTTACAAAGATCTCTTATCTAAAATTTTTAGGAAGTTGTCTCATTGGGAGCACTCTCTTCTATCTCCAAGGGATAAATTGGCTCTCTTCAAGTAGGCAAATTATTGCATCCGGTCACCGGATGCGGAGATAGGTCCGAATATTGATAAAATATTATTTTAAATTAAAGCGTAGTCAAAACGCATGTGACATGGCATGTTTTTATTGGATGTCCGAATCTATTCTGCGCGTCCGATGACCGGATGCAATAATTGCATCCACATGTTTTGTCCATTGTTCTTGCTTATATAATTGAAGCCTGGGCCCTCCTAATTCTATTGGTAACAAAATTCATTGGATTAGTTCAAAAAGAGAAGAAAAAAAAATATATATATACTAATTTATGTATTCATTTTAAATCATTATATTAACAAACATCCTTCTATAATATTTTTTTTTTAAAGGGGTTTCCTTCTTATTTGAAATAGACTATTTAATATCAAACATGAAGCTAAATCTCATGGCTATTGGAGAGCTAAAGAATGAATTTTTTTTTCATTTTTATTTGATCATTGGCTAGAGAAGCTTAAAGTTTTATTTGGAATAATTTTCTTATTATTTTCTAAAATAGTTTGTTAGTATAAAATTTCTTTAAAAAAATAAAAAAAATAACAGCCAAAAGCTTAGAGCCTACTTCGAACATCTTCTCATTGCTTGGCTTTGCAAATAATATCTATAATATTATTTGGCTAGCTTTTTTTTGCTACTTTTTCGTTAATTTTTTTTGAGTAATTAAGTTATTTTTCTTACAATAATTGCATAATCAACTTTATAAATGTTACATTCATCTCTGACTGTCACCAAAAATCGTCCTGATCATGCACGAATCTCAAGGAGTATTCAAGTTGGAAACTTTCAAAATTAAATTCGGGACCATATGAATTTCAATTTCAGCAAAATTATAGTCAAACTAAACGTCTCAACAATACAAACCCAAAAATATCAAAATAAATCCAATACGAGCGCAAATAAGTCCAAATCGGGGGCCTGAACCACATTTGGAAGGTTCAAAGCATTATTTGGATTACAAAATGATATTCAAATATGACATGTTTATAGTCAAATCAAGCGGCTCGACAAAATGAATCCAACGAGCCCAAGATCGCTGAATTCTGTCATTGTTACAACACTTAAATGGTTGAAAAGTGCTTGATGATTGGGGGAATCAATATAAGTCATCCGATTGCGCACTGCCCCAAATCTTCTCTATATTTACGGGAAGTGCCACTCATTAAAATCTATAAATAGACTCACACTCTTTACATGAGGGAGATAATGGAGCTAGAGATTGGAGAGAGCTCTGCGGCTTCAAGAGTTCTAGCTCCACCGCCAGCGAACCTCCACTCGACCGCCGTCGGACTTTCACCCAGCCTCCGACCGTCGCCGGACTTATGCTCGACCGTGGTCGGACCACCTCCCGATCACTGACCTTCACCTGACTGTCGTCAGACCACCGTCAGGCCGCCCACCGTTGTTGGAATTTCACCCGATCGCCAACCATCGTCGGATTACTGCCCGAGTGTCATCAGACCACCTCCCGGCCGCCGACCACCCCCTCACTTCTGCATGACAGTCGTAGGACCACTGCTCGGCCGCCGACCACATGGACTTTCATCCGACCATCGACCGCAGCCAAACTTTCACTTGGTAGCCGACCTTCGTTGGATTTGTGCCTGACTGCCGACGGACCACCTCCCAGCCGCCAATTGTCGCCAGACTTCCACTCAACCATCGTCGGACCACTGCCAAGTTTCCGACCTCCGCCAGACTTTCACCCGGGTGCCAGCTGATGTTGGACCTCTCGCCGCTGCCGTTGGACCTCCTCCCACGGCCAACCATTGTTGGTCCTCTATCGAGCTGTCAAGTACGGTCCCTCATACTACCATCGTTTGCCGACTACGGTCCCTCAAAATACCAACGCTCATCGAATAAGGTCCCCCAACCATCGACGCCCACCGACTACGGTCCCTTTGACCTTCGTTGCCCACTGACCATAATTCCTCCGACCTCCGTCGTTTACCGACTATGGTCCCTCAGACCACCGTCGCCCACTAGCTTCAGTCCATCCAACCTTTGTGGCACGCTGACTACGATCCCTTTGACCTCCGTAGCATGCAAACTATGGTCCTTCCCACCTCTGTCGTCCTACCAACCAAATGAACATGCCTTATTTCTCTTGTGAATGGCTCCCTTATAATTAGATTCTTTCAACCCTAACTATGTAATATGGCCTATATGATACAATGAGCCAAGACCTTTCCCCGAAGGAAGGGCAACATTTTTAATCGACTACAAATACTAACGGAATCATTTCAACGAGGCGAGAACCTTGCAATTTTTTTCCTTTTTAGAGTTTTCCACGTAAAAAAAACTTGGTCAATTATAACTCTCGCACCCCTTCGCTTTATATGTTTGTGTGCTGGATTTTCGTACAAAACTAAGATGTTAGATTTTATCTCTCTCTAGCGCCGCGAATGTTCCAGTCCACAACAATTACAAACACTCTTATTAATTAATGAATATTCGAAAGACAATTAAACCATTTGTATTTCACAAATTTTGCTTGTAGATAATGGGATTAATTCCATCTTTAGCATCCTTTAAAATAAAATAACAAAGATGCAACATTTTGAAATAATTATGCTAATCCTATTTTCTCCCTTAATAAAATTAGTATGGCTCAACACCATCGTGGCATTACTATAAATCATTCTGTCAACATAATTTTCTATTATTTTCAAGTTTTGCAGAGATTGCTCTTCCATAAAAATCGAAATATGCGTTCCATCACAGTACTGGCACACCCCCTGCTTCATTAGGATTACTTTAATCCATGCGTTACTTGAAACATAAAATCCCGTTAAAAAAAGTAGCCTTTTTACAGGCTTAACAACAACAATCATTTCTTATTTATATAATTTTATAAAGGATTTACTCGTGTACATATCCCTCTCCTCATCAAAAAAAAATTCGAATCTTCGAGCATTTTAAGAAGAGAGAACCAAGAAAAGAAGACAAATTTCTCCAAAAGGCCTCACCTTTTTTCCGACTAAGATAAAGAAAATTCTTCCACCAATCACTCCATACAATTTCTTCTCAGAGCTGTGTAAGAGGACGACGAGCTTACGAAGGATTCAGCTCCCCATCGACTTAAGCTTCTCCAACGAAGACCTAACCAACTCCTCCACAAGCTCCATCCTCTTCAAGTAAAGCTCCAGCTCCAGAATCCGCTGCCGCCGCCACCTCTCGTCCTTCTCCACCGACACCGCAATCGGAGGTGCCGCAGTCACTCCAGCCACGGCGAACTGCACCAGTTCCTTGAACAACGGCGCCAGGCAGATCCTGACTGCCTCCTCCTCAACACTCGGCCCCGCCGCCGCTGCCGCCGATGCAATTGCCTCAGCTTTAGCAGGAGGCGGTACAGATCCTCCTTCCTCAGCCGGCGATGGCGGCAAAGCTGACGCGGATGAGACCAAAGTCACCGGAACGAGCGCTTCCTCTGATCCAGCGACGTCGCCGCTCCGATCTTCCTGGTTTGTTCGATTCTTCGGCTTGCGGTAAAACGTGGAGCTCCAGATGTTACGTGAGATCTCGAAGGTAGCTCGGTCGTGAGGGCTCTTAAAGACGAATCCCCGGCCGGATCCCATCTTGGCGGCGGCGTTGCGGTACTTCTTTTTGAGACGACGCAGCTTCTCCGCGATCTGGTTCTTATTGAAATCGAACTGCAACCGCGGCCGGATCGCTTCGAAGAAGGGCCCCGTGTCGTGCTGGTAGTTGGCATGCGTCGTCCCTCTCTTCGACGTGAACTCCAAGAATCCCTGCAAGACCTTCATCTCATCTGCGTGAGTCCACAGCTTCTGGAACATCCGCCGCGACTCTTCCCCTCCGCTGGAGTTGGGGATTTGCCGCTGGATGTGGTCGCTGCTGCCGATCATTTCCTCGCTGTCGGTGACTTCGTCGTCTCCGGCGGCGGGATCGTCCTCTCCGGCCGAAGTCATGGATGTGGTGCGGGATTAGGGTTTGGGTTCTTTGGAATTTGGTTCTTATTTAGGGTTAGGGTGAGGGATTTGGTTGAAGTTGTTCGGTTTTGGCCTGGGGAGATTAGGAAAAGGGGCTCGGTCGCTGGGAGGATTATTCATGTTAGATTTTTGTGCGGGCAGTCGCTTGGCGGAGATTTTTGTGCGGGTTAGTTGGATTATGATCGTCGGATTTGGTCATATGTGTATCTAACGGTTGGATTCGGAGGCTATTTTGGTCAAGTTGATGCACGGTGGACCGATCTGGACCGTTGAAGGAGTAAACGCAGACGACTCTATCAACCGTGAAGGAAAATCGAATGATTTTAATTTAATTCTGATAATTCTAGTTCAGCTTCGGTTAAGACTAGTTTAAAATTTATTAATATATTTTAATTTCGATTAATTTCAAATAAAATTTAATTTTCCTCTTAAATTTATAAATTTTGATTCCATTAATTAACAAAAAAAAATAATGTAAATTGAAAATGAAATTGATGACCAATTCAATTTATTGAAATTAAAATTTTAAATAAATTAAAATCAACATCAAAATTGATATTAAAATCTTTCCGTGGAGTGGACTTTCAGTATTTAATTGAACGGAACAACTGAAAACAGGCGAATTAATGGTCAAATTTTACATGGAATGCCTTGATTGGAAATAAAAAAAAATATTAATATTTTAAAATTCAAGCCGGCTGATTTAACAATTCTCTTTATAAATTAAAAGATACATGTGCTATTTAGTTTGTGTATTTGAAATTATTTAGATGAGTATAATTGGAATATAAGTAATTTTTTTTTATATTTAACTTGAAGTAAAATGAATGAAATGTAAAGTTAAATGATGATAGTAGTCGGTATTATTAGTAGTAGCGATGACCAACAATTGTGGAAATGGTAGCAGCCAGTGGTTGCCCTAGTTTCTACCAATGAGAAGCCGATGGTGGTGGCAATGGCAGTAGTGACAGTGACCGCTGGAGTTGATATAGCTAGCTTATGATGATGTAGCTAATGGATATATAGTTAGATAGCCTAATTTCTTCATTTGAGAAAATATATTAATTAATGGAAGCTCTCTCTCAAAAGTTATATAATTAGATGATTATGTAGGAGATGTTGATGATGATGATGTAGCTAATAGATATATAGTTAAATAGTATAATTTCTACATTTTTTCTTTTAAATAAAACCTATGAGTTTAAAACTTGCATAAAAATTTAAGCATAAAAGCTTCGGGGTTTTTTTTTTATTTAATAAGAAATGGTTTATTCGTTTATCTGATAAAGTATTTAAGTAGCATAAATGTTTATGTAAAATTGTTTAGAGTGTAGTATTTCTACTGTAATAACATGTTATTGTATTATAAAATAGAAATAAGCTTGATTATAGGTGGGCTCGTCTTTGGCGGCCCAGGATTATGTTAGATGGGCCTAAAGGTAGCCCACCTACTGGTCAACTATCACGATCTGCTGTCCTTAAGCACCCGGGCCGGGCCAGCCCGTAAATAAACGCGGGCAAGCGTGCAGCTTCCTTCACTGTTCAAAGTTTTAAGGGAAATTGTCAAAAGTTTAAGGGAAATCTCAATAATGTAGGCTTAAGCCGTGTTTGGGATCATTTTTTAAATTTTTTTTGAAGTAGTTTTTAAGGAAAAAATTTAATTTTAAAAGTATTTGTACTAAAAAAACTGTTTTAAAAAATATTAATAAAGCCGCCCCAAGCGAAACCTTACTTAAGATTTTTTTTAAGGACTTTTTAAAATTGTTATAGGAAAAATAATTTTTTAAAATTACCGTAGAAAATAACTTTTTCATACATTTTTTTTTTAAACAACAAAAAAGTAATGAATAAACAAAAATTGTGGTAACGATCTCAAAAACAAAGCATTAAGGAAATTCTCTCAAACAATGCCTATATGATATATTTAAATTTCATGGTTTTTTTTATTTGAAAAAATCTTTTAAAAAAAAACTTATGTGAAGAGTAGGTCGTCTATAAAATTAAAAATATTAAAAAAAAAATTTTGAGGGTGAGCATTTGCCCACCTTAAAGATCACCATGGTGGATCTGCCCATGGTGAGGAGATGAGGATGGATGGGAGCTTCATATAATGAAAAAGTTTTAATTTTTATATTTAAAAGCTGCTTTAAGAAGCATTAAGAAAGCCGTCACAAACGAATCCTATGATAGATAGTGACGGGATCACGTGAGCAGTAGCTCGTGCCTGGGAGATTATGAAGAGTGATATTCAAAGAGAATGTCACAAATCATGTTTTGAAAATTCAACCAATTTATGCGATTAAATACATTCAAAATGAATTATATAAGATTTAAAAAACTCTTTATAAATATCTTTTATATTTCTGTTACACTTCATCAATAACTAAAAAAATAAAGGATAATCTTATATGAAAAGAGATATAATATACATATATTTCATGCTCTTAAGAACTATATATTTTTATGTTTTCTACTAATCATTTAGACAAAGAAAGACCACTTTCATACAGATAGCGAAACAAAAAAAAAAATCTCTTTATTGTAATAGAGAATTTAAAAGAAAAAATGTAACAAGTTTATTTTGTTAGTAAGTAAATAAGTTTCTCTTCAGTCTTCTTATCTTGAGATATCTAAGGATATCTCCAACCAAAAAAATCTATTTTAAGCTTTAAAATACAGTAACAAACATAACAAATAGTAATCATCTACAATCGAACTCTATTTTTAACTCCCAAAAAAAAATATTTTGTATATGTTCTGTATCATCTATTTTTAACACGCAAAATTAGTTTGTGAGTAGTGTTACATCAATATTATCGTCGCACTGTTCGCAGCCAAAATAAAATGTAAAAATACATTTCTATTTGTTGTTCTGGTGGACAGTCGTTAGCGCTGCAAACAGTCGAATGGCATTCGGCTCAAGATGCCCTAAGTACTACTAAGAACTCCATTTTATTATTTTATACACTTGAGCTTCTCAATAGCATTATATTCATTAATTACATATTATTTATTTTATATTAATTAAATAAAACTTTTACTTACCAGAATAGAAAAAAAATACTTGTTTGGAAATTTTTATGCGATGATGATTAAACAAATTAATTAAAGGCATGTGGAAATTATCCAATATACTTGTTTTTTTTTTTTTTTTTTTTTTTTTTTTTTTTTTTTTTTTTTTGTGGACATTTAGGCCATTTAAGTCAAACACACACACAACACATACACATAGACTCGAATCTTGAACCTCTTAATTGTAAGCCAAAGCTCTCAACCAATATGCCAAGGAGAGTTGTGTCCAATATACTTGTTATGCACATACTTTTTATTTATTTATTATTAACAAAACGATAAAATAATCATTTAATTATTATTATTTTCATTAAAAAAATTTATTTTCTCTGACAATGAAAATAAATAAAATAAAAATAAGGAGTGTGGCAAGAAGTCTAAACACCTACTTAGGACTTTAGGTAGCTGTGGACCTAAACTCACTGGAGGTGAGCGTACTTGCCGCTTGCCCAAATTCGAATTTCAAAGCACGCAGATCCGACCGTTGGCCCCGCGAAGAGAGAGAAATGAGAAAGGTGATTGAGTGAAGCTGGCAAACAGGACAAGAAATGGAAAGAGAAACTTGGGATTGAGCTTCTCTTGCTACTTCTGCTGAAAATCCAGAGCTGAAAGACGGAATCATGAGGCGCCATGGCTGGCAACTCCCTCTTCATCCTCTCCAGGTTCAGTAAAAGCTTCTTATCTGAGGCATTTTTTTTTCTTCCTTGGAGTTGGACTGTTTCCGATTGCAAGGTTTCTTCAAACTTGATTTCAGTTTGTTGATTTCTGATATTTTTGTTTGGAATCATATTATTTTTATAAAACACAAAATCCTCAAGATGCCTTTATGATTCATTCACAAAACAAATTGAGTTTGAATGTTTGTGCATTTTCACATTCCCCGGGTTACTTAAAGAACGAAATAGTGTCTGTGTATTCTGTTAGTTTTCATCTCTACTGTTTAGTTAGCTGATAAGCCCTCTTTTTACAAAAAAAATAAATAAATTCATGTTCTTCAATTAGTTATCATTTATATCTTCTATGTTTACATAACTCTTGCAGTTTGTCGGGATGGGAGTGTTCACATTCCTAGTTGTTGCCTTCTATGTGTTCCTCGCACCTTTTCTTGGAAATAGGACTGCAAAAATTACAGTGCTTACACTGTTCTCATTCACAGTAAGATATGATCTCCTTATTTCCTTCTTCTTCTCCCTTCATCCAATGGTCATTGACTGTTCTGGCTCTTGCAGACATTTTCTGTAATTGTTTTATACATAAGGTGCACCGCCATTAATCCATCTGACAGAACCGCCTCCAGAATGGAAAGGGGAGCAAAATCGCATGGTATTTCAAAATTTAATTACAAATCTATTATCAGACAGATCATTTCGAGGATTGTCAGGAAGATAGAACACAAGATCCTCAAGTGTTGCATAAGGAGAAAATACTTGGATCCTCGGAATAATAATGTTCAAATGGATACCATTTTGCCATTTTCTCTTCTAATTATTGATGATGCTGTCACACCACACATGAAGAATGATGACATCTCATTTTGCCCTCTTTGCGATTTTGAGGTATTTTTTAATCCAAACTTGTAGTTTAATATAAACGAGTACATTATGTGTTCCTCGTTGCTTCAATCGATTCATTTCATTGTGTTTTTGTCTCATCAATATTTGTCTTTCTCCAACTATTTTGGGGCAGATATTTCATCAAGTGCTAAAATAGTTGAAAGTAAGCTGCTATTAATTAAAAGAAGAAGAAACACCATGTGCTCAAATTCATTCTGGATATGTTAAGTATGAGAAATTATTAGGTGCGGAGTCCGGATGTAGAGATATGTCGTCTGGACTCTAATAAAATGTTGACATGTGCTTTGGACAGGTGTATATTCAATAGGATTTATCTTTTACTTTATATATTCAATGTGTCCGCAAAACTTTAAGCCAAGCGCAGTTAAAGCGCAACAAAAGAGCAGTCAACGTGCAACTAATATGCAACTAAAGTGCAAGTAAAACACAAAAAAGTACAATCAAAACACACTTCACGTGTCACATTTTAAGTGGATGTTCGGACATATCTCTATGTCCTGACTCCGCACCTAATAATTTCTCATTAAGTAGAGACTAAAATGACTATAAAATATTTCTCATGCAGGTTAAAAGGCGTAGCAAGCACTGTAGGACCTGTAATCGATGTGTTGATGAATTTGATCACCATTGCAGGGTGAGCTGCTTAGCTATGGATTGAAATGACTTCATTGTGCAAACTGCAAACTATGAACAAGTTTTATGTTAATTTGTTAATTTCATTTTTAGTGGTTAAACAACTGCATTGGAAGAAGAAACTACACCACATTCATACTTCTGTTGGTTTTTACAATGTTATTGGTAATGATCTCTACTTTGCAGTCATTACGTATGTTGTGAGATTATTTCTTTATGATAGAAATTGGCAAGCATTCATCTTTCCACTGAACGAAGGTTAGAAAATTCTCCTAAATTGCAGCTTGTAACGGAAGGAGGAACTGCAATTGCCATTTTCATCCGTTGCTTTGCAAGTAAAAGCATATCACTGGAATTAAAGCAGAAACTTCACACTAAGTTCCCAAAAGGAGTTCTTGGAGCAATATCTGTAAGTTCAACAAATATTTGACAGCGGCCACCAATCTATGAAATATGTAAAGCTTATGATTTTCCTCCAATTCTGAATATTTGAAATTTCAAATTGATTTTCCTTAGGTGCTTTTGGCAGCATTGACAGCCTACAGCTCGGCGGCGCTGTGGCAGCTTTTCTTCTTTCATGCTGTTCTGATTCAAAAGGTACATTTTTTTTACAGACAAGGAACCATGAACTAATAAAACGATCGGTGGCATGTAAGATTAATAAAATATATAGAAATAATTACAATGCTTAAATGTTCCAAGTCATATAGTATTTCTTAGTTGTAACATGAATGCAAAATAGATAAATCATATAATATTTATCTATTACAGATTGAATACTTCATATGCATGTGGGCTCTTAAAATTCGCGCCCCAGCCTCCCCTCTTTCGGGGGAGTATTAACGGATTAGGTTTCAGGATAAACTTTTAGAAGGCAAAGTGGGTTTGAAATAACACAACCCAAATATTTTTCCATCATTTTGCGAGGATTTTATGATCTAAGTTCTAGTTTCCTATAGACGCAAGCCCCTATAGTTAATTACCCCTTCCGAAAATGAGAGAGAACCTTTCATTAAGGCTACTCGTCAATCAGATACGTAGAGATACATGAGTAGCAGCATGAATCTAGGTGTTTGGAAGTTTGATATTTAAAATTGAAAATTTGACCATCTCGTACTTAAAGCGGATGATGGGGATGATGATGAACCCGATCAAAGATACCTTGTAGACATAAGCCTTTTGTCTACAGCCATGGGTTGCTTCGTCCAAAGATACTTTATAAATATGGGGTGAATATTTGTCTAAGGAGACAAATTTAAATTCACCTTAACTAACAAAAGGCTTTTTGCCCTATCGATCATATCTTATTTATTTATATCTAAAGGATTTAGTGTCATTGGGGAGTTTACGGGCTCTGACCATGATAGTAATTTAGTGGTGTCATTTAGCGACAAATCACCTGGTTCAGAGGACCCCAATCAAAACTGTTTACATATGCCATATGACATGTCTTTGGAGACAAAATTGCTGGTTAGATGACATATGCCATGTCTTTGTGGCAAGAGACTATTTAAGAATAAATCCTAGTAATATTCTGGACTAGATATTAGTTCTTTGTGAGCTGAAATGTGATGGAACTTAACTTGCAAATTTCGGAATCCAGTACAAACAGCCCAAAAACGATAGGAAAAGTGAAAATTTCTTGAAGGAAAACACTCACAAACACTTTGTTAACTTAAATATCAAAAGACTTACAAGTTTCCACGGATACAATGCTCTCAATTCGAGAAGAGAAGCTTTCTCCCAAACTCTAGACTAGAAAAGAGGAAAACAAATCACCACACAAAAGATGTCCACAAAACAAACCCTAACTCCTTTTTATACTCACATAATACTACCCATAATCTTCTAACTACCCTTATGACAAACACATTACTCTCCCTCATGCATTTGTTGGGTCCGTTGGGCCCAACTTCCTTCTCCCTTTCTTTCAGCCAACCGCCCAAGTGGGCGGTTTCTCCCTCCCTCTTCTTCGGCCAAGCGCCCAAGTAGTGGGCGGTTCCTTCTTTGGTAAACAGAAACCTGCCCAGTTTGGGCTGGTGTTGCTCTGGGATGGACCGGCTGGTCCAGTCCATCATCACTCCCCGCCCAAAAATTAACCTTGTCCTCAAGGTTAAAAGTAGGAAACTGGGCTTGTATGTTCTCATAGGCCTCCCAAGTAGCATCATGTGTCGGTAGATCTTTCCACTCAATCAAAACTTCTTTCCCTCCTTCCCTAGTGTGTCTAACCCCTTTCAATGAAGAAGGCTCTAATAGACTTGTACCCTCTTCAGACAATGTTGGCGGTAAAGTATCGATTGGTACAGAATCTCCTTTGAACTTCTTTAATTGTGACACATAGAAGACTGGATGAATTGTAGTAGTGGGTGGTAACTTCAGACGATATGCTACATTCCCAATCTTCTGCTCTATCTCATAGGGGCCATAATACCTTGGAGCCAACTTAACACTTAACCTCCTTGCTAAAGTATTATGTCTATAAGATCTCAACTTTAAGTATACAAATTCCCCAATCTCAAACTGAACATCCTTCATATGATGATCTGCTGCCTGCTTCATGATGTTCTATGCTCGTAACAAGTGTCTCTTCAGCTCTCCCAAGATTTCATCCCTTTCTGACAATTGTTGCTCCACTAGAGATACTGATGTAGAATGAGACTTGTAATGTATCAGGGTTGGAGGATCCCTTCCATAAAGCACTTTGAAAGGTGTGACCTGCGCTGCTTTGTGAAATGAAGTATTGTACCAATATTCCGCCCAAGGTAGCCATTTTACCCAATGCTTGAGCTTCTCTCCTGCCAAACATCTAAGGCAAGTTTCCACACTTCTATTGACTACCTCAGATTGCCCATCTGTCTGAGGGTGGTAGGCTGAACTGCGCTTCAACTGTGTCCCTTGTAACTTGAACATCTCTTTCCAAAAGTGACTTAAGAACACTTTATCTCTATCAGAGATTATTGACTCAGGAAAACCATGAAGCCTCACAACCTCTCTGATGAAAACTGCTGCAACGGTAGTGGCTTTAAAAGGATATCTCATTGGTATGAAATGAGCATATTTACTAAGTCGGTCAACTACAACTAGAATGACAGTGTAACCTTCCGACTTGGGTAAGCCTTCGATGAAATCCATAGTCACCTCTGACCAAACCTGATCAGGTAACTCAAGTGGCTGCAACAGTCCCCCAGGGGCACATGCTTGGTACTTGTTCCTCTAACAAGTATCACACTGGGCTACCATTTCCTCTACATCTTTCTTCATCCCCTTTCAGTAAAGTTCTCTAGCCAATCTCTGATGAGTCTTCTGTCCTCCAATAGCACTTGCATGAAACTCCTGAAGTATCAGTGGAATAAGTGAAGAGGTTCTAGGTAAAACTAACCTTCCCTTATATAACAAGAGCTGATCCTCCACTGTATATCCTGATGGTATGTCTTCCCCTTTTTTTATGGCCTCTCTGAAGCTTCCCAATTCTTCACTAGTCATATTTTCTGTCCTCAATTTACCCCAATCCACTAATTGAGGCACAGATGTAGCAATAAGTTGAGAGCATTCCACCTTCCTGGATATGGCATCAGCAGCTTTATTTTCCAATCCTGGCTTGTACTGAATCTCGAAATCATAGCCCAATAATTTGGAGAGCCATCTCTGATGTTCTTCTGTCACCATACGTTGCTCCAACAAATATTTTAGACTCCTTTGATCAGTCCTCACAAGGAATCTTCTTCCCAACAAGTACGATCGCCACTTCTGAATGGCCTTAACAATGGCCATCAGTTCTCTCTCATATACAAGAGTGCTGTTCAGTCTCTCTTCATCCGGATCTGGTGATATCCTGACTTCAAATCAAGTTTGGAGAACAATGTAGCACCTCCTAACTCATCAAGAAGTTCATCAATAACAGGGATTGGAAATTTATCAAGAACGGTCTCCTTGTTGAGAGCCCGATAATCAACACAAAATCGCCAGCTACCATCTTTCTTCTTCACCAATAGTACTGGGCTCGAAAAAGGGCTCACGCTAGGCTGGATGACTCCCGCCTCCATCATCTCCCTGACTAGCTTCTCTATCTCTTCCTTCTGAGCATGAGGATATCGATATGGACGCACACTAACTGGATCTGCTCCATCTTTCAGTACAACGGCGTGCTCCTTGCTTCTCTGTGGTGGTAGCCCTGTTGGCATCTAAAAAACTGTGGTGAAATGCTTCAACAATTTTGTAACCTCTTCAGGAATATTACTCTGCTCAACTGGCTCACTACCCTCCAATCTCCATAACTCTACTAGAAATCCTTCCCCTTCACTCCTAAGAGACTTGAGCATAGTCTTCAAAGCCACCTTAGATCTGCATAATTTGGGGTCCCCATGCAAAGTAACTCGATGCTCTCCTTCATCATACTCCAACATCAAGGTCTTCCAGTTGATCTTCATCTCCCCCAAAGTCTGTAACCACTGAATACCCAAAATAACATCAGTATTACCCAGCTCGAGCACCAAAAAATCCTGGGTAATATCTTCCCCTTGTATGGAGAGAGTAACTCCGCTGCATCTTCCCGCACACTGCTCTTTCTGACCGGTCCCCAAAGAGACTCCCACTTCTCTCCCTTGTACCATAGGAATGCCCAACTCTTCCACTAATCTGTAAGCTATAAAGTTGTGGGTGGCCCCACTATCTATCAGCACCGTGACTGTATAGCTCCCAATTCTCCCTTCCATCTTCATAGTGGAATGTGCTGTCAACCCTGCTACTGAATTGAGGGAAACCTCAACCATGTCAAGATGTAGATGATCTACACCTTCTTCTCCTCCTCCTAACTCTTCCTCAACTTCCTCCACCTCGAGGTCTTCCACCAATAGGACTTGGAGTGATTTGTCTTTGCACCTATGCCCTGGCCCAAAGTTCTCATCACATCTGTAACAGAGTCCCTTGGCTCTTTTATCCTTCATCTCTGCCTCTGTGAGTCTCCTGAACTCCCCCTTGGTCGGTGTACTATGATCCCTCTCTTTCTGCCCTTCTCCTCCTGTTCCCAAGTAAGTACCCTTGGCTCCTCCCGTAGGATTTGCCACCTTCTGTCCTCCTCCAAAGAAAATAGGTTTGCAGTATTGATCAGAAGATAATTTATCCTCTATCAATTCAGCTATCTCCAAAGTCTCCCTCAAACTCCTTGGTTTGGCTGCTCTAACTGCTGATCGAATGTGGGGTTTCAAACCCTTCATAAAGTTCCCTTCAAGCACCTCCTCGGTCATCCCATGAAGTCTACTGGACAGCAACTCAAATCTGTCCCTATAAGCAGATACGGTACCAGTCTGAGTCAGTGCGAAGAACTGCTCATGATGAGTTCCCTCCTTTGGTGGTCTGAAGCGATCTAGGCACATCTCCCTAAACTGTGCCCAACATCTAAATCTCTATCTTTCTTCCATCCACTGATACCAAGCTAGGGCTCTTGCCTCCAAACATAAAGGTACCGCTAATAGTTTCTCCTCGTCTGTCATCCCCATCACTGTGAAGTATCTCTCCGCCTTGAAGATCCAACCATATGCATCCTCACCTTCAAAGACTGGAAGCTTCAACTTCCTCATTCCCCATTCTCCTCTCCCATTCCCTCTGCCTTGGCCCATACCTCCTTGCCCATATCTCCCATCTGGTTGTCTCTCCCATGGTTGTGGTTCCACCCCACGATTCTCCCTTCTTTCCCAAGCTTGCGGTGCCATCGGATCTCCCCTTGCATAATCAGCCGACCCCCAATGAGGCTCCCTAGGGTCGGCCTCCCTTCTTGCCCCTATATGATCCTCCTCCCCACTGATTGTAAGGCATGCTTCTCCCTTCCTTTTCTTGGTAAAATTAATCTGGATGATTCTGAGTATAGTTGGTCCTAGCATCTCCCATAAATCCGGCGGTGGAATAGCCTTCCCCTCCACGGTTTGGGCCATACATCCCCCTTTTTGGGCTGGCGGACCATGCCTCCTCTCCATGGTCGCTAATGTCAATGGCTTCTTTCCCTTTTGCATTCTGCCCTTCACGAACTCTACTTCCACCTTCACCATCAACCGGTTGCGCATTGGAGTTAGGGTTAGCCGAACTCCCTTTGTTGTGTTGGTCCGCCACCATTTGTTTGATCATCTCTTGTAACCCTAATATTTGAGTCTTCAACTCGTCAACTCCATCAAGCTTTTTGTCAACGGATGCAACTTTCTCTTTGAGGGCGGTTATCTCAACTTCTCATTCTCCAATTTTCTCTTCAATAGAGTCAATCCTGCGTGTACCCATCCCTTCCTTGTGAATCTAGCGCTTTGATACCACTTTGATGGAACTTAACTTGCAAATTTCGGAATCCAGTACAAACAGCCCAAAAACGATAGGAAAAGTGGAAATTTTTTTAAGGAAAACACTCACAAACACTTTGTTAACTTAAATATCAAAAGACTTACAAGTTTCCACGGATACAATGCTCTCAATTCGAGAAGAGAAGCTTTCTCCCAAACTCTAGACTAGAAAAGAGGAAAACTAATCACCCAAACAAAAGATGTCATAAAACAAACCCTAACTCCTTTTTATACTCACATAATACTATAATGAAAGTTTGAGGGCGTTTGAAAATACGTGATCTTCTCCGGTTGAGATAAATATTCAACACGACCATCATCGGGTATTACTGTTCATTTTTATTTTGTTGATTGAACCCTATCGACTTTGTTTGCTTGCTAGTAGATGATCAAGTTCATCGTAGGCTTTATGTCTTTATTTAATAAATTTTCCTGGCTACCGGCCTTAAAGGTCTAATATAAACGTACATAATTGAGAGGAGATTGCCAGCCATATAAAAATATTTATGATATGTTGGGAATTATTCTCACATATGATGCCAAATTGAGAGTTGGGCCATGATGATGAGCGGAGGTACTACACGGGTGGCATCAATTTGATCGACCTCAACATATAATTGATTTTCTAATGGGAGAACTCCATCATACTGTGATTTTACTCTTTATTTAACCTTCACTTAGAGTTTAATAATTTAAACCTGAAGTTATTATATCATATGCATACGATCATCTAAAGGTGTAGGTGGCCTTCACCACCAAAATTATATTATTAAGAATTGAGCAATGCTTCTTCCATCCATAATGGCATATTTATAACATATTTTTTTATGTAGCATTTGTATATAGAGAAATATGATGTGAGAGGTGGTAGGTTTATATCATATCTTTTTTATGACATAACATAGAGATGGTCATAAAAGTATGTTAACTTGAGGGGTGAAAAGTACATTTTTCAAATCAATGCACATTAACAAAAACTTAATTTCAAAGCATACGAAGTCCAAAAAATCAACATTCAAGTTATAACAAAAAAGTGAATCACCCAGTGTGAAACCGAATGATGCTGAAAACAGTTCTACAAATATGTGCCTCACAACACAGAATACTCTTCCACCTGTGACCATTCAATATTGAATTATTGATTATTGCAGGGGATGAGAACATATGATTACATCTTAGCCATGAGAGAAGAAAGCCAATCCATGGATCCCTTCGATGATTCTGATATGTCTTCTGATGATAGTGACTATGACGACACACCAGAAAAGCCAAGGATTCTTTCCAGATTCCTTTGCAATGGACATGGAGAAAGTCAGGTAATCAGCATGCAAGTGTCATCCTATAAGTTCCATGCAAATGCTTTGAAAAAAAAATATATCGTTTTTATGTTACAAAAGAACAAACTTTATATCATTTACAGAGCAGTCAAAGGTTATCTATTCTTGTTGAAAAAACGTCCACTCCAGCCAATTCAGAGAAGCCTGAAATCCGAATAGACCCCTGGAAATTGATAAAGATGAGCGCAGAGAAAGCAGAAATGGCAACAGAAATGGCGAGGGAAAGACTGCTGAGACAGAAGCAAACGGTATCGGTTTCACCATTGAAACCATTGCCACTGGAGAGCAAGAAGGGACCTAAAGCTAATAACCAGATAAAGAAGGTGACCGCAAGCTGCGAGATTACACCAATTGTCTCAAATCCATGGATTTCAGGCTCCGCAGGTGGGAGATTCTCCAGTCCAAGGAGAAGATTTTCTAGTTCGCCATCACCAAGGCCACAGAAGTATAAGAGTAACTTTGATCTCAAATTGACAGAGGTATCAAGAGAACTTGAAACTTACATATCAAGGCAGGTACTATGCTCGGTTTTGAAGAAGAGTGGAGAAGATGAAGCTTCTCCAAGCTAGGAGACATTTGAATTTTGTTCTGCAATTTATACCTTTGCAACTTTTTCCTGTCCATAGTTTGAAGTTAGTTTTTTCAGCCTTTGGTAAAGGTTGGACTTTCAGTGATTAATGTTCCACTTTTGAAGAATGTGTAAATTAAATGGCGTGACATAATTCAGCTATTTTGCAACAGATACAACTATTGAGGCCTCTAAATTTCTCATTGAAATTATTTTGCTCATTGGCATAAAGAATTATGATGAATTTTTCTATTCCAGGCACTAGCACTTGTTAATGAAGAACAAAAAATCACTAGAAGGGTTTGATGCAGATTTCTTCCCCTCAATCCCGTTATGAGAACCTTCAATCTTTCCTTCTGATTTTCACCAAGAAAAACAGTTCTGATAGGGCCAATCAATCTCCAACAAGAAAAACAGTTCTTTTTTAGGAGAAATTATTACGTGTAGAGTCTGGACGGGAAGAATCGTCCGAATTTATTGAGTATTTACTGAGCATTTGAAAACTGTCTGGATTTTTCCGTTAGTTTATTTATGTTACGTAGACGTGTCAAAAAACACAACTTTTTTATTATGCATGATTTTACTTAACATTATATTTTAAATATATTAGATTTCTAAATACTTGCAACCAAACATAATGACATAACAAAACAATGAGAATAGAAAGTACCATAATAGATTCTCTAACCAAAATTACAAGACTTACATAGTTTATATAATTTCAAGTAAATTCTGGTTGGCTGAAGATGTAATAATACTGACAGAGAACACAACTAGTAACCATGCATTGACACTTGTAGTGTTACACATGTTAACTATAATATGATGTGATCACACAGGTCTAGACCTGAGAAAACCGTTCAAAAGGCAGATGAAGATACAAAAAGTCTCCTCATTTCTAACAATCTCTTAAGATGTTCCAAACTTGATTCAAACTTATTATCCAAACATAGCACTCTAACTTCCCAAGAAATTTAATAATAGAACAAGATCAAAGAAAACAAAAATGGCACAAGTTTTTTTTTTTTTTTTTGACAAATGGAATTCTAATCTATGAACAATTAACATCAACAAAGATATATGCAGTAACCAGTCATCTACAAAGATGCCAACGTCACATAGGAGCTAATAGAGCAATTTCCTCCAGAATAAAGTGTCAGATTATCAGCTGGAGAATAACAAACAGAAGAGTCATTCGGTATTTTTTGTAGTAACTGACAAGAGTTTGGCGACACGAGGTAAGAATAGCCTTCAACATATGAACAATTCCATGAAGAATCTTCTGATGTTACATTTAGCGAGATATCAGAGAGGCAAATTTGACCAAAAATGTCCCCTTCGATACCCTCCAAAAGACCTGCAACGCTGATATTTACTCCATAAACATCTTTAATGGTGATATTGTTGATATCTGGCAACGCATATGGATCATAATAATCATCTGGGTGCTCACCATATTGACCATTGATCCTGATGGCATACTCAACATTGGTCAAGATGACATTGGAGATGTAAATATTTCTCACATATCCACCACGCCCAGGAGATGTTTTGATATGGATTCCATGAAGAGAGTTGAAGATGTGAATCTCTTCAGCGTGTACTTCCGATACACCACCAGACATCTCACTTCCAATGGCAATGCCAGCTCCAGATTTGCTCTCACCAAAAATACTTTTGATGCTTATGTTGGAGCTAGGATGTGCAAATGAGATGCCATATTCATCCCACCCACTCTTGATAACAATAAGATCATCACCAGTGCTGATGTAGCAATCCTTGATGCAGACATTGGTGGACGAATCTGAATGCCATTTCCAGATGAGCATTTTAAAAGATTAGAAGCTAATAACTATCAAGTTCATGTTAGCTGGACATTATATGCCCTTTTTCTAGCTGCATAAATGAGAAGGGAATTGTGTTCTAAGTAAATTACAAGTTCGTCAATCTAAACAGCTAAGCTGAAAAAGACCTTAAATGTTAGATACAAGGCTTCATTTGGGACGGCTTTCTTATGGCTTTTTAAAACAGCTTTTTAATAAAAAAATAAAATTTTTATATTAGAAAGCTACTTTAAGAAGCAGTAAAAAAGCCGTCCCAAATGAAGCCTAAGAGTAAAAGAAAATGATAAGTGCTTCTTGGTGCAATGGTGAAGGGGTGTCTACTGCATTAGATCAATTAGTGATTACTCTTAATAAGATACAAATACATAAGATCGACAAATTTTTGATATTTGTTTGCATATAGAATCGACTAGATTAAATATGGAATACCAAGGTGCTTGAAGCTCTTGCCGATGCACATTTTGGGGAGTGACTGATAAACACAATCTTACCACTACATCACAAGGGAATGTTTCTATGATTCACAAAATAACCTTCAAGTCTAAATAGAGGCAATCTAGCATTGCTCTATGAATGAAAATCTAAGAAGATATAAGGCAAGAATCGACAAAAATATGTTTTGAACTGATCCATAAATCGGTATAATAGAGAATTTCAGGTATTTTAAATTTTGGGAGTAGTTTAACTACCCATCAATGTAAAATATTAGATCATCAAAATTGATTACAGAATTTCAGGAATATTGCTTCATTTGTTTTATTATATAATAAATAGGATGCCTTATTTCATAATAGAGTCATCATTTTTGAAAAATCCATATTTCTTCTGGAATGTATTTTGATTGCATTCCTTTGTTTGTCTTTACTTTGATGGAAAATTCTATAAATAGAGGATGCTTGTAAAAGGATACGAAGATTTAAAAAAAAATTGTTAACCAATATCTCCGAAATTCCACCTCCTCCTAGGTGGCTAGCCCACAAGAAAATTGTCTTTGGACGACTTCTAACATAACTCAATGGCAAGTCATCCTCAACATCTTCAAAGCATCCCCCTTCCGCGTCTGCATCATTTGAAATCAAAGTTCAATGTGCCTACATCAACTAAGATTTCTCATGTACATGTCCCTCGTGACTTTTTCTATATTTCAATTTTATCTGTGTCATTAGAAATTAGAATGTAATTGCCACTTAATCCCTTAAGCACTTTTACTAATTTGAAAGTCAAGTACTTCAAATTTCTATGTATCTGATTATGTTATATACCATTGCCAACCTGCAAAAGTCAGGATTATCTTCCACCTCCATAGCTCCATTTTTTACACACCACAACACACCTCGAACTAACAAAAATCCTCCCAAAAATAGAGCTCCCACCTCTTCTCCAAAGCATCCTCCCAACCCCCTCTTTTAGTGATGCCTAAATTTGAAAATATTTGATATCATGATTACCACCTAAAAATTGAAATTCATGATATATTCCTAATTAGCTCTCAAATCTCCATCAAAATCCTAAAAAGCATTTCCCCTTATCACCCAAATTTTAAGAAAAAAAAAATCAACATATAAGTTATTTCATATATCATTTGTAGTAGGTAGATCTACAGTTTTTAAATCCTTTGCCAATAGATGTACCCCAAATCCTATTAGGATGCTCATAAATCTTCAACATTAATGTAATCATAATTACTACTACCTTCTTGCCCTAATTTATAATATATTGAGCATGGTCGCCACTAGTCTATCCAACTTTAAGCCAACCTCAATTCTTCAAGGTCTCTTATTTAGCTCTTAGCACCCACAAGAGTTTGAATAAATCCATCCTATTACTAGCCTTATTTTGCGAAGCTCAACTCACCCTTGATAAGTACTCCTTGCACAGGCGGATCCACCAAGGAGTGAGGGTGTGCCCACCCTCAAGAATTTTTTTTAAAATATTTCGAGGGGATAATTTGAAATATTTTGGGTATTTTGCCCCCCCCCCGCCCCTCAAAAATATTTTTTGCCTTAATTTATCAATCCTAAGCATTTTTGCTCATCCCAAAAAAAAAAAATTATTTTTGCCCACCCTAAAAAAAGAAGCTGGATCCTCCCTTGACTCATTGCCTATTCCCATCCAACAATTGCTAACGAACTTCCCAAATCTTACTCATAGGAGCTTCCTAATGAGCTCCTTCCTAAGTGCAACATCCAACTTCCTGATAGTGCAAGTCTAAACATTTTTTAAATATATAATGAACCCTACGGAAAATGTTGAACTTAAGAGACAAATTGATGTCTTCTGACTAAAGACTTCATCAGGAAAAATTCTCAACTTTTACATAATTTTTGTTATTATTATCCTAAAAAGGATGGGACTTTGACCATGTGCTAATAGTAGAGTCATCAATAAGATCATAATCAAGTTCACTTTCTTATATTGTTTCGATGAAATATTTGGATTCGTCATTGGGATTACTTTGTTTAGTAAAATTGATTTGTGGAACAGCTATCACTAAATCTAATACATATAAACAATGAATGGAAAATCATCTTTAACTTCCCTGATGGCCTTTACTAGTGGTTTGTTATGTTGTTTGGTCTCTTTAATGCACACACTAAGTACCTTCATTCAAGCTATAAACCATGCATTCTGACATTCCATCGGCAGACTTCTTATGGTGTATATTGATAATACGTAGATATATAAAGGAATGGAGAATTGAGAAGACCACTGGAACCATTTATATAATTTTAGATGACATTCATACCCAAAAAACATACATTTACCTAAAAAAAGAAATTTCTTGCAATACAAGGTTCTCATTTAGATTGGCCTACGCCTACCACTTGGTCTACTTTCATAGTTCTCATGATCTTTCAAAATTTTTTGCCATGTTTAGCATAATAATGACTTGACCAACGAACATCATTGAAGATGCATTTCTTAACCGACCAACTATGCCTTCGAATTGATTTAAAAAAGGCTGACTCTCCTATCTTTCATCTCCCTAACTTTTGAAAGTGTTTGAGGCAATCTGATTCTAAGAGAGTGAGTAATAATGGTGTCTTGAGCTAGGGAAAACATCACATCAAGTAGATTAGTTCAGAGAAAAATTAAATGAGGCTAATCAATATTATTCAACTTCCAAGCATAAGTTTCAAGCAGTCATACAACATGTCTGCCTTGTAAATTTTTCCTTAACTCTAAACATGATGCCTTTAAAGACATGCGCTCATAAAGAAAACCGGATGCATGCCATTCTAAATGTGTTGCATTTCATTCAAATTGATTGCGAGGGCTCCCTCTTAGGCAAATTCGACACTCTGATCTTAACGGCATGGTCCGTTTGGAGATCAGAGGTCGTTTGACCACCTAAGTGATGTCTCACACCTGCCAACCGTCGCTTAAGCCAACAATTTTGCCTCTTTTTGCGCATTTTTGGTGTGTGGGTCAACAACATCTTCATAGGCTTTGACACTTCCATAATTTCTAACCATGACATCCAATTTGATGAGCATTTTTCACACATCTTGTGGAAACTTTTTAAAAATACCTTAAAGTCCATATTCTTTCCAACCATAAACCAATGACCAATAGATCTATTCAACCACAATTTAGGAAAATTTGTACACTATCTTTGTCAATGAACTTTTCAGAAAATGAAACATAGTACAATCTATAACAGAATTTGTATTTAATAATGCTCTTCATATAGAACTAATAGCAGTTTCCTTTTCAAATTATTTATAATAAAATATCATGCATCCCAATTGATCTAGTTTCTTTACACACACAAATATTATTTATTTGTTTGTACTAAGGTTGTTGTGCTTATGCATAAATTGCGTATTCATATAAAAATTAAATTACTTTACAAATTAAAAACATACAAGTTGGCTGTCAATGCTCATCAAAGTTTTCATGAATCCATGCAAGAGATTTTTTTGTATTCTCAAGAAAGCTTACATACAAATTATTTTAAGAAACATCATGCTCGATATTCTAAACCTTTTAAAATCTTGGAAAAAATAGGGTAAAATGCTTATTTAAGTGATTTGCCTCAATAATAGTATATTAATTCAACTATCAATATTAAGATCTATTATCCTTAAAAGCAATTACAAGTCCTCTGTGATGCTCACTATCGTTAATGCAAATATAATTTCTACTGAAAATATTGTCATTGTTCCTCCTAGCCCCCTACTCTTTTTACCTAAATAGTTGAGCAGATCTAAAACGGAATATATGGAGTGTAATTTTAGTAGTAATAGACCTAGTGAGGGGATTGTGACTTTGGGCGATCAAGTCATTAATAAGAGTACACGTTTTAGATATCTTGGATCTATTGTTCAGAGTGATGGAGAAATAGATGGGGATATTATCAGCAGAATTCAAGTTGGATGGTTGAAGTGGAGGAATGCATCGGGCTTGTTGTGTGATAGAAATGTACCCCTCAAACTTAAGGGAAAATTCTATAAGATGGTAGTGAGGCCTGCAATGCTTTATGGTGCCGAATGTTGGCCTTTAAAAGAGAAGCATAATACTAAGTTAAGTGTGGCAGAGATGAGGATGCTCAGGTGGATGAGTGGCTTTACCCTTAGAGATAGGATACGAAATGAGCATATACGTGAAAAGGTTGGAGTAGCTCCAGTAGAAGATAAGATTAGAGAAAGTCGCCTTAGATGGTTTGGTCACATAAAACGGCGGCCTTGCGATGACCCGGTTAGGAGAGTAGAGGTATTAGATTTGACTTATGTTAAGAAAGGTAGGGGTAGACCTAAAAAGACTTGGTTAGAAAATATTAGGAATGACCTTTCTTTATTAGATTTAAACGAGAATTTGACTTTTAATAGGACACAATGGAGAAAAAGGATTCATGTAGCCGACCTCACGTAGTGGGATAAAGGCTTGATGTTGTTGTTGTTGTAGTTGAGCAGATCAACACTAATGAGATTATTATTGATTGTATCAGACAACACTGCTTACTTATTCGATGGTCTACACTTTGACTTATCGATGATACATGGAGGCCTATTAAAGAGTTGAAACATGTCATCCTTACTCTATTAGAAGAGTACCTTGTCAAGCATTCTGCCCTCTCCAAAGAAGAGTTCTTACTTGGGGAAGATGATGCAGTGCACCATTCATCAGCATAAAATAAAAAGTCATTAATTTATGACATATAAAAATTGCCTACAAAATATTGCTAAATTTATTTATTTTGCAATAAAGATGATTCTTACTCAGGTGGATTCTTTCATTAGCGAAAGACATTTATTTTTCGTAAGTTTATTTTAACTGTTTTCATTTATTTCTCTTTCCCTTGGATGTAAAAACTACTCGATCAATGGAGAAATCTTTTAAGAGGATTTCACACGATATTAATCCAAAGCAAATTGCAAGCAAAAGTCTCCAAAAGTCCCATCTGTCCTACAAAGATAGGAATGGAAGGGATAATTTATCCAAAAAAATCTTCAAGCTATCTCCTTCAACATCCTCATTACTGCTCCAGCTTTGCCATCTCATATATTCAAGACGGTAAGATGGTATGAAACATGAATAAGTATATGCCTAGAACAAATCCTTAAAAATATGTATAATAAAGAATCTAGGTTAACCGGTCTCAAAAAAAATTATGAAGTCATTTAAATTCTTCCATTATTTAGCTTAACTCACATAGATTCTTCTCTCCAAGCCCATCATCTCATATGTACGAGTCTCTAAGATGACATAAGGTGAGAATCACCAAAAAAAATATGCTTTTTGAACTAATCGATATTTGAATTATTTAATCTCTAAAGAGTTCTGAACCACAAGTAGATTAAGCAATTAGTTCAACCACAAAAATCTAAAAAGTCAAACAAAACGCCATGCATGATATCAACAAACAGACAGACAACTATTACTTCATAGATTTAAGTAAAGGTGATAAAGATCAAGCTAAATCATAAAGAGCTAATTGTAGGCTAAGTAATTATAAGAACGAATAGTTAGTGATATGCTTTACAAATAAAACCTTAAATATTCAAATTGAAGCAAAAGTTTAAATCTACCTGGATCAATCCCATCAGTATTTGGTGAGTCCAGTGGGGCAAGGATTGTAATGTTCTGAATGAAGACGTAGCTGTTCATCAAACAAAAAACAATCTCAAGTCTCCCTCATCTCATAAACTCCAATAATGTATTCATCTATTATGTAACAAGAAAATAAAATAAACAAGGCAGAGGAACCAACTTGCAATAGACTGGATGAATGGTCCAAAAGGGGGAGTTTTTGAATGTAAGATTTGAGATTACAAGCCCAGTTGAGTACATTAATTCTACAAGATGTGGTCGAGTATGATTCAGAGTATTGTAATTAAACCAATTCCACCAAATACTTCCCTGGCCATCTATGGTCCCATTACCTCCTAGAAAGAAAATAAAAACGTTAAGTAATTAACTAGGCATTGAAGTAACAGAAAAGACTCATGTTCTATGATTGAGTCCAAACTATTTCCAACGGGATATCTATACAATATGTCCCATGTTTTATGATTAGCTAACCTGTTATTACAACATCTGTTAGATTGTAGCCATAAATGAGGCTTTGATGCCTTTCACCTGCTAGCTCCCGACCTCTCCCATAGGAAGGTAATGGCTCTATAATAGGCCAATCATAGGGGTCCTGAAATAAGATTAGGTTAGAATTCATGTAGATTTGTTTCAACATGTTAACTACAAGCTATAAAACGGTTTAAGAGGAGGATGTAGAGACATAGAAACAAAGGAAAATAACATATTTGTAGATTCACCTATATAAAAAAATCTAATAAGAAAACATATATTTAAAGTGCTTCATTGCATGGAACAAGAGTATCAAATTCTATATAAAGATTATTAAAGCTCAAAAAAGCCTTTCATCTTGCCTACTTCAAAAGAACTACTCTTTTTTTTTTTCTAGGGAAGACTATCTCCATGTTTTGTATTGGATAAAGTTTTCTTTTTTGAAGCATTTAAAGAACTAAACATACAACGCCATGCAAATTACCAAATTTACCAATGCAATTGTTTAACAAGTTCAATTTCAGATAAGCATAAATTGTATGGTCACAAAAATTTCACTATCTAATCCTTGCGCCTTAGCAAAAACTTCTAATTTAGCATGATATGATCAAATTTGTCGAATGCCTTCATAAAATTTTCATTGACAACCAAAATGCAATGCATGAACTTTTGTGAAAATAGCAATCCTAAATGGATAGAAAGAGTGCCCAAAATTATAACAAATCTCACAAATGGTATACATTAAACTCACAAATGACTTTCTCAATAACTCACCATAGATCCAATTATTATGGCATCTTTGTCCAAGGACAAAGTGAGATGGCTGATGAGACTAAAACTTCCCGTCAACCATTTGCCGGCGGGTACAAAGAGCTGTGCACCACCCTTATCAGAAAATGAATTAAGATAAAAGATTGCATTCTGAAATGCTTTGGTGTTGAGGGTTACACCATCTCCAACTGCACCAAACTCTGTTATGGAAACACTATGTGGTCGATCTGCACCTGACCTGGGATGCTTGCAATGAAAGTTCTGTGCAGCCGCCCATGGTGGCTTGCATATGGCTGCAAGCACTAAAAGCACCACAAAGAACTGAGAAAAAAAATTCACCTACATCAGTATAACAAACCAGGGTGGATATTTGTTCTAATTCATGAAAATAACAAGCAAACGGAAAAAGAGAGCTTAGACAGATAGGGGATCACAGCTAATAACGCCACCATCTAGAGACAAAACTATAAGAAAAGTCAGTTTTTGGGTTTTATAAGAGCTTACTTAGAATAATAATTTAAAATCATTAAAAACTGAGAAAAGCGAGCATGCTAAAGGGGATCTACCGTACTGTTTTGCAATAGAACGCTATGTTTTTTACCGTGATTTCCAGTATTAACTAGTAGATATCTTTCATTGTGGCCACAAAAATCTTCAGACAGGGATTCGAGTACTAATTAAACCTTAAAAGGAAAAAAAAAACAGTTGCGCCAAATTTCAAAAAAGTAAAAGAAATGAACTGAAAATATATGCAGATCACCAACAAATTACAGCATATACAGATAGAATAAGAATCAACATTCAGTAATAAGCAACTCCCTTTGCATTTGACAAGAACAATGGCAAAGCCCAAAAGCAACAAACCACCACCACAAGAAATAGGAAATAGAGACAATCAAAAAGAAATTTGGTTGGAATAGAATCCCTCAACACTAACAGAGGGAACAACATTTCCAAAATAAAAGAAAGCAGCAATTGATAAAATGCAGGAAGAAGATCACACAAGGTTAAGAAGCAAAATCACTCACAATTGCAGATCTCATATGACAGATTCCCTGTCCTCCCAGAAGAAGCCGAAGAAAAGAGCCACCTACTCCCATTGATCACAATGCTACAAAATTAAGACTATTTATTGATATAGAAACAATTAAATCAGCCTTTCGAACTTTCAGAAACCTCTACAAGTCTCAATCAAAACCACGATCAAAGACAAACGCAGTTTAAGTAATCACATTGAATAAGGCTTTGTTTTTAGAGAGAAAGAGAGAAATAGACAGAAGAAGGTGAATGAAAGGGGAGTAAAAGAAGAAAAGAGGAAGAGGCAAAAATTACGATAGTAACTAGTGCTGTCCTGTAAAAGCAGCAGCAACCCTAGGGCACCACCTTTTGTCTTCCAACAGGCCAGCTTCAAGCATCAGCAGTAGAAGGGCCTCCCTTCCTGAGCTGTCATTCAGTACGTGGCCCAAATGGAGTGAGCCCCATTTTTGGTTTGGTGTCTCTGAAGCCTAATCGCCATTGGCAACACAAAAGCAGAGGGAAAAAAGAAGAAAGATGGAATCTTTTTGGATCTCTACCTCCTTGCCTTTTATTGGCTTTAAAACGTTTGAAGCCCGGAGAAATTTTTACAGCTCTTTCTCTCTCCTCTGCCTCGCCGGATGGTCAGTTACAGTTGGGAAATCCGTCAAAGGAAGCATTGAAGAGAATGCGGCCCTTTGGATACCATCAGCTATGGCAAGAAAGGACGGAATAACCCTTACTTTCCAAAGATAAAGTTGCCTGCTTGAATTCCCAAAAGTATTCTCTAATTAGATTAGAAAACTGACATTTTTGACTGGTTCGGACAAATGGAATGTTATAAAGGCATGAAATTTAATTTAAGGATAATAATAACTTCCCCAATAAATTTATATTTAAAGCAATGTTACATTAGTTAATCACATAATTGGCATGTTCAGTAAAATTTAAATTTATTAGTCATTTTTTGAAAAATCTGCTGTAACTAATAATCATGTTGAGTTAGGATTTCTTGTTGGGCAATTTATTTTATAATTGAACTAAATGTTTAATATTTTATAAAATCTTGTCTTTAGAGAGAGATAGATTGTGGAGCAAAAAAAAAAAAAACCTAGCTGCCTCTAGTGTACCTAGTTCTCGGTCTTTTGTCTCCTCGTTGTGTCGAAGACTCCCTCCTCCTTGACCGCCTTTTGTCTTTCTTTCTCATTTTAAATATAGCTCTATGATGCTCTCTCAAATATTGATTTTCCCCTCTCTCCCAACCCTAAATACTCCTTCTCTTGCTACAATTTTGCCTCCACCTGTCTCTTTAAAGTGAAAAATTCTATTAGTTTCCAAAAACCTTGCCTCTTATTCTTTCCCAGTAAAATATGTTCCCCTCGTAAATAGCATTGGAAACTTTTTGGATTTAGAGATCAACGACGATGCAAAAGAATAGGATCTCTATTTGGTCGATTATGCAGTAGGTTGACGTCCTTATTATGAAGCTCTCTTGGGGGCTATTAAAAAACCTTGGTGGCCCAATGGTACTCTTAACCCATATTTCTTTCAATGAGGGGCTCTTCCTCTTTAAGTTTTCCACTCCCAAAGATTTTGATATGACTTGGTATGGCGGTCCTTGGTTTTTCTTTGACAAGCCATTTATTTTGAAAAAATGGTAAGTAGATTTTATCCCTAAGAACAAGGAGTTTAACACTCCCTCTATCTTGTTGGAACCCGACTAGTATTTCCAAAATTGCCAGCATCAGTAGCACCCTTATTGCTATTGATTCTCTCACTACTAAAAAAACTAGGCTAACTTTTTGTGTGTTTGTGTTCAAATTGACAAAAATTTCAAGCTTTCTAATGAGATTCAAATTAATATGGATGGAAAAATCTTTAACAAGAGTGTTCAATATGTTTGAAAACTGACATGTTGATCTAGATGTGGCTCCCTCCTACACCTCCCAAAACTTTGCCCTACCAATCCTTCTTTCCTTTCTCAAGCAGTCCACTCCACTAGAGGTAAGAGACGTAGCAGGAAGCCTCATCCTCACTTTACACATCCCCAAAAACATTCCCCCCCCCCTTTTTTCCTCCTCTTACTAAGGCTTATATGACATATTCCTCAGACCTTATGTCTTCTGTCTTGAAGACCAATGAAAATATAGCAACCTCCACTTATGTTGATGCTACTTTAGATCAACAAGACTCTCATACGACCCGTTCAAGCGAAAGCATTCTCAACCTAAATAGCCCCATAAATGGTACTCCTCCTATATTGATGTTATTCCTCTCTCCACTGATCAACCTAAGAATCCCATACAACCAATATCACAACTAATACCCCTCAACCTCCTTATCTCAACAGATTGAGGTTTCCTTTCTCATCATATTGAGGCAGCTTCGAAAGCTCCTTGTAGCCAATCACCAATTCTCAACCAAAGCCAATGTAATCAACAAAGGAGCCAAATCATCCCATCTCCACCATTAAACATAAATGATCAAATTGAACATCGCCTCTTGGAATGTAAGAGGCTTTCATGGTTTTGACTGGTTCATTGCATGCAAAGACCTTATCAAATCTTTTAATATTATCATTTTGTATATTTTGGAAGCACAAATTTTGACCCATGAATGTATGATCTTTGGTTCAGCTCCTCCCATTCTCTTTTCCCAAATGAAATTAGTTGTCATAACTTCTCTCAATCTCATCCTAGTATAATTTGGATTAAATGGGATAAGGCAAATATATCTTTATCTCCTTTTCATTTGGATTCTCAAATAAGTCATGGTGTTATTTTTGTTGGTAATACATTGAAGCGATGCAAACACCCCTATGAATAGAACTCATTTACGACAATTCTCATATCTCTACTTATGTGTCATGGGATGTTATAGGTGGCTTTAATTGTTGTTGTAATAATCATGAGAAACACGGGGATCTTTAAATCCCTATCTCTAAAATGTGAGGCTTTAATGATATATTTTTTTACTAATAGTCTTAGAGATCTTGCATCTGTTGGGTTGGACTTCACTTGGTTTAACAAGAGGCCAGACTCCTTTATTTTGATTAAACTTGACATAGTATTTGAAAATGAGGCTTCGTTGGAGAGTTTCCCTACTTGTTACTATAAAGTGGATAATCCTAAGTGCTCAGATCATTGCCTCATGACTACCTTCACTTACTACTCATCTCATAAGCGACATCGTTTTTTGTTTAAAAATTATTGGACTAAATTCCCTCAATTCTAACCTCTGCTCACTTCTTCCTTTAATGAGTATAACCCTTGTGACTTTATTAACTCTATGTATAATAAGCTAAAGAATCAGAAAGTTGATTAAAGCTCACGATTGGTATTCCTCCAATCACCTTGGAGATAATATTTCAAAAATGGAAACTCTTCAAACAACTTGTTTTGAGCTCCTTATGCTGGTCCTTCTGACGTTAAGTTAGCATCATTGGCCAAACTTATTAGTGAAGGTCTAGCAATTTATTATGCTACCCTCAATTCCTAGATTGCCCAAATGGGTAAATCTAATTGGCTAACTAAAGGTGAAGAGGACCTTAAATTTTTATATGACAAAATTAGGGGAAGTAAGAACTATAATGACATTAGAGAACTATTCACTCATCTTGGAACACTTCACTCCCATGCTAATATTGATAAAGCTAATATTAGACACTTCCAGAATATTCTAAATGCCCCTCCTCCAACTTTTGACTCTTCTCTTCCTTTTGGCAGATCATTCCTCCCCTATTTGATCCTTTTGCTCACAGCCCTTATTTCTGATGCGGATATTAAGAAGGTTGTTTTCTCCAGCTCCAATAACTACACCCCTAGGTCTGATGGTTTATCTTTCAAATTCTACTCCAACACATGGGATGCTTTTATTCCTCGTGTTTGTAAAGTTGTGCACCACTTTTTCAAGAAGTGCTACCTTCCCATGATAGTGAAAGCTACAAGGATCTCTCTCATCCCTAAGCATCCCAATGTTGGACATATAAATGACTACCAGCCTATCTCCCTTTGCAATATCTTATACAATACAATTGCCAAAATCCTTGTCAATAGATTAAAACCTATTATGCCTTTCATTATTGATCCCTCCCAAGCTGATTTAATGAAGAACAAGATGACCTTTGATAATATTATTGTTGCTTCTGAAATTCTTTCTGATTTCAATATTGTTAAAGAGGGTTTTTTTGTGATAAATTTGATATCTCAAAGCTTTTGATTCAGTTTCTAGAGAATTTTTACTCTGGAGGATGAAAATTATTGGGTTCCCTAACAAATTTTTTTTGTTTGATAAAAGATTGTATAGAAGATACTTTATTTTTCTATATGCATTAACGATAATTTGGAAGGATTCTTTTACTCTTCATGTGGGCTGAGGCAAGGGTGCCCGCTCTCTCCTTACTTATTATGTATTATGATGGATTATGTTTTGACTGTCTTGGAATCTTTTGCTCTTAACGATTCAATTTTTGGTTACTTTAGAAAAAATATGTGTATTACTAACCTCCTCTATATCGATGATCTTATTTTTTAATAAGGTTAATCATCCTAATGATCAAGCTCTTAAGAATATTCTTTAAACATTTGATAAGGTGTCTGGGCTCAACATTAATTATTCTAAACGTTATATTATATTCTCCAGTACTTCTTAAGCTTGATCAATTATGTGAGCTTTTGATGCACCTTGGTATAAAAAATAGCCAACAAATCAATACAAATTTAGTAAATAATGGATTTTTATTGATAAGAAAAAAAAATATGAACAAATAAATTCGATGGTCCTCTTTCGAGAGGAGCACTGTCTCTCCCAAACCCTAGAAGTCACTAGGATTCCCCATAAAAATAGTGGACAAAAAACACTCATAAAATTATGCATACAAAATATCTCTTGATCTCCAAGTCTAGGGTTTGCTGAATTTGTAATGGTTCGTTGAATGTATTTTATTTGAGAGTGTTATAGTTTTCTTTTTGTGAGGATTGCATCTCTGATACCATTTTGATGAGCCTTGGTATCAAAAACAACAACAAACTCCATGAGATTTAACATAAAAACAAAATTTTAATGGTAGAAAATCAAATATGAACAAAACAAGATACAATGGTACTCTTTCAAGAGGAGGACCTTCTCTCCTAAATCCTAGATGCTACTAGGATCCCTCACAAAAAAAAAAAAAAACTAGAGCACAATCAAATCAAATTATACACGAGCTTTTTTATCATCTCTTTTATTCATCCCAATCAGCTCTCCATTCAATTTTCAGAGTTGAAAACCATTCCTTCATCCTGGATTTGATTTGCTCCACTTCATCTTCAAATGCAACAACCTTCTTTGTTGCTATTCATGGATCTAATTCAAAAAAAAAAAAAAAAAAAAATAAATGCTTACACTTTTACAAATTCTTTTCTTCAAACAACAAAAAATCAACCACAGGCAGGAAGTACAAAAATAAGTCCTCTTAAATTATCAAATATTCCCTAATTAGAAAATATCCCCTCCAAATCATCCCTCTCCAATTAAAAAATATTCTCAAATTAATTCTCTTCAAATTAGCCCCCAAATTAGTCCCAAGTAATTCCAAATATTCCTTTTGCACTGCATTACTTTTTCAGGCAATCAAAAATCCCCTAAATAGCTAGTTACTAACACATGAATTTATTGTTTGACATTAATTTAAAAGAATAATTTCAGCTACATCAAATTTATGCTTTGTCATTCAACATAAAAGGAAAAAAAATCTCAAAAGGCTATTGCAAGATAGTACATTTGATAAATATTTAAAAATTATGA